CTAGTAAATATCCTGAGTGAGGTAACTCAGACCCCAAAGGACATGCATGGTATGTACTCACTAATAAGTGAATATCAGCCAAAAAGAAAAAAGAAAAAGTAAAGGATACCCAGTATATGATCCACAGAATTCAAGAAGGCTAACAAGACGAAGGGCCCAAGTGAGGCTGCCTCAGTCCCTCTTCTGAGGGAGAAGAAAGCAATCACAGAAGAGGGAAGAGAGGGAAGGACCTGGGTGGAAAGGGGGACAGGAAGGGGAAGAGGGGAACCTGATCTGGTATTAGGTGAGGGAAAAGGACTGGAGCTCTAAAGGGCCAGTAGAAAGAATGGAAAACAGGCAACCTAGAGAGGTAGGAGGTAGGGGGACCCTCCACAGTGCATCAGAGACCTAGGAGGTGAGAGACTCTCAGGACTCAAAGGGAGAGACAACTTTTTAAAAATTCATCTATTTTTATTTTATGTACATTGCTGTTCTGACTACATATATGTCTATATAAGGACATATGCTGGATTAACTGGAACAGGAGTTACAGACACCTGTGAGCTGCCATATGGGTGCTGGGAATTGAACTTGGGTCCTCTGGAAGACTAGCCAGTGTTCTTAACCACTGATCCATGTCTCTAGCTCCCAGAAGGTTCTCTCACTCTTCCATTGGGAACCCCATAATCAATTCAACGGTTAGCTGTAAGCATCTGCCTCTGTATATGTCAGGCTCTGGCAGATCTCTAAGGAGACAGCTATATCAGGCTCCTGTCAGCATGAACTTCCTGGCATCCACATCAGTGTCTGCTTTTGGTGACTGTACCTGGGATGGATACCCAGGTGGAGCAGTCTCCAGATGACTCCTCCTTTAGTTTCTGTCCCACACTTTTAGAATCAGTTCTTTCCTTCCACTGTAGGATCTTAGGCATCAACTCAGGTCACAGACATATATGGCAAGCACTTTTATCCACTGAGCTCTTGCCAGCCCCAATAATGCAGTGTTTTAAGAGAATCTGAGGCAGGGATTGGACATGGCACAGTCAGAACACAGAGAGTGTGTTGATATACCCAGTAGGCCTCCATTGGAGAAAACTGAACGTTGCTTTGCCAGGCAGCTTCTTGGTCAGTGCTGTGACCCCATGTGGCTTGAGCCTGTGCACACTTTATACATGGTGCCACAGTTTCTGTGACCTATTCAGTTCATCAGTCCTGTTGAATCTGGAAGACAGTTTCCTTGGAGAAATCTATCATCTCTGGTTCTTAGGATCTTTCCATCTTCTCTTCCATACAGGTAGCACCCTGTGCCTTGAGGGCAGGAGTGTGATGAAGACAACCCGTTAAGGACAGAGTGGTCCAAAGTCTCTGTGCACTCTCCAACTGTGTGACTCTGTACATTTATCATTAAAAAAAGGTGCGTCTCCAATAAGAGTTAATCAAGGCACTGACCTATATCTCAGCCTGGTGTGATCTTTTTATATTTTTTGATACAGTTTTACTAGACTGTCATGGCTGAAGCCAAATCTGTCCTCAAACTTAGAATCCTTCTGTCTCAGGTTCCAGAATGCCACTAAGATTACAGGAATATACCACATGTCCATCTTAAATATATTTTTGGTGTTTGATTTAAGACAGAATCTTTCTATGTAGCCCATGCTGCTGTCAATTTTCCAGTGATCTTCTGCCTCTATTTGCTAAGTGCTAGGATTATAGTTGTGCACCACCATATCTGTGTAGGAAGTTTTTAATGAGAAAAAACAACTTGTTTTCTGACCACATTTTTCATGTTTACTGATTTGTTCAGGGTAGTACTAGTCAGCAAGGAAGGCACATGCTTTCTTCAGGTCATTTTTAGTGTTAATATTAGATACTGAACGACCTCACAGCTGTACTTTTAAGTTATGTAGTTTCTATGAAAAACTGTCAACAATACAGTTAATCTATTAGGAGTTATATTTTAAACGATATATCACCCAAGAAATTCCAACAAAGAGAGGCAATAACCAATTGTAATCGAAGGTTTTGGGCATGCGCAACCCGTGGCTTATGAGCCATGCATACGGCAGCTGCTCTGAATATCCAACACAAAAGTGTAAACTTATAGCATTCTGAGATCAGGGAGACGGCATGTTTTGACTGAATCTTCAGAGGTAATTCAAAACGGGCATGGCAGGAGCCGACTCCCACCCCTCACCATGTGTGCTTTACAGTGACTTACTTTGTTTCTATTCTCCTGTCACATCACGTGCTCTACCTAATACTGATGTGTGGCCAAATTTTAAGATAACATTTATCTCTGAAATCCCTGTAGATTTTTACTTCTTTCTCTCTGTCCTTATAAAATTCTTCGGGGAACGGTCATTTAAAAAGGAACAAATTTAAGAAAGAATGTCGGTAACTAAGCTAATAACGCAGGCACAGATGGGAGTCAGAGTGCCCTCACTCCCCAGCTGATCCCATGTATAACTATACACAGCACTGTCTGACCCACAGACACAGACATGAAAAACAAAGGGGCATTAATTAATTTGCTATTTCTAGCTAAGAGAAAGACAGTCATATAATTTAAGGACAAGTGATTAATTTCCTGTTTAATTATGATAAGGGACAGCTTTAGCTAAACTGTGCCAAATTAGCTTAAAGAACTAAAGATGAACTAAAGTTTACTGACCTTTAGTGTGATGCCAAAGGAAGAAAAAAAAGCTTTAAAATAAGCAAGGACAGAGAAATAACCATCCTGGCATTTTTAGTACTCAATTATTTATAAGCTACTTATGTTGACTAAATATAGATATACCAAATCCCACTGCTATCAGAACTCACTGTAAATATGATACAGTACAAGAATGGGAAGGAAGGAAATTCCGTGTGTGGCTCACATAAAGGAAACTAGTTACGCACAGCAATCTGGGAATTCAGGGCAGCAGCAATTCCTCAACGTGACCAACATGACATCATACCTAATGGTAAGAAGACAGAGCTAGAAAGAGCTAGAAACTGGAAAAGGTCAAGGTGTTCCCCCTCATCTATCTTTTCTTATATCAGAATAAAGAACCTAGTTAATGCAGTTAGACAAGAAAATGAAACGAAGTTACACACATTGGCAAGAAATAAAATTATGTAGAAATCTGTGTAGAAGTAAACAAGAAAATCAACACAGAACAGCAGAGTAAACCGTTACAGCACAGACGCTATACATGAACAATTCCTAGCACAACAACCAGAATTTGAAATCAAATGTAAAATACTACTAATCCCCACAAAGACAAAATTTACCACTACATTATTATTATAAGATTTAAATGAAAAAAGATATAAAATTCTGATAAATAAGAAAATTAGTCCTTGTTTGTAAACAGTAAAATTCAATAAAAATAAATTGTTTCTTCTCAGTTTTATCAAAAGGTTCAAAACAGTCCTAATCCAAACCTTGCAAATTATCTTGTGGTATTCTAAAATTTAGGCAGACTGCAAGGAAAAGACAGCCTCCGAACAGACCCATGGAGACAAGATCACCTGACCTTTGGGCAAAAGCAATGCAGTGGAACACAAGCAATTTGTCCAACAAGTGGTGCTGAGGCAAACAGACACAAACATGCCAAAAGTGGATGTGTGTGCCTTAGACTTTCCGTACAACTTAACTCAAGACGGGTCATAGACACATGTGGGATATGTAAAGCACAAAAGCCCTACAGAGACACATCATGGCATGAAACACAGCAATTAGGAACTCAAAATTTGCTCAAAGTAAAATCTCTGCAGTGAACACTGTTAGGGACTGAGGGATAACCATATACTAGGGAAAACACCACAACAGACATCTGATAAAGAACTCTTTCAAAACTCAACAATGAGAAAAGAAAAGCTCATTTCAAAAATGAACAACAAAAGCCAGAGTGGCTGTATATCTGGGAGGGGGAAGGAGGAGGTTCATCTACATGGCAACTTTAAGGTCATGCTCTACCTAACATCTTGTCAAAAGGTAACAAAAATCCTGAGCAAAGATCATATAAAAACCACGCTCAACACCATGTCATTTGGGAATGTGAACTAAAACCACTGAGATATTACTATCCCTATTAGAACAGCTATCATTCTGAAATCAACAAAAAGGGTTTGACAATATAGAGCTCTCATTTACTGCTGAGTAAGTGCACACTAGCACATTTACTTTATAGAACAGCTTGGCAGTTTCTTAAAACAATACAATCTTATCCTAGTGTCCAACAATCAAAACTTTAAATCTGCATTATTAAGTGAAGTAAGTCAACCTGAATATGCTACATGTGTATATTCCAGACATACATAGGGCAGTAAATCTGTTCGAATCTATAGTCACAGATTTATGTCATTTTACATCTGATCTCATCATACCAGGAAAGAACTTTGGACAGTCAACGTGCCAACACTGACGCTACTAACTGTAACACATGTACAACCGGAGTAGCAATAGAAAGCTGGAGATGCAGCTGGGAGGAGGGACACAGAGGAACTCTCATATGTACGATTTATTTTTGCCTAAAACTGATCTCTCATTCATTCAAACAAAAACATTCAGTTGCTAACATCTAGTGACACAATTCTCATACTCTTGATATTTACCCCTCTTCAGACACAAGGGTAAAGAGAATCTCTTATACTGTATAGAACCATCACCTGTCAGTAAAATGTCTTTGGTCTATTAGCATAGGCAGAAAATATGAAAGTAGATACAGAGAGTATCCAGTACAGAGAGGATTCCTGGGAACAGAGTCAGTAGCAAAAGAGGAACTCTGAGGAGACGGTCACTAAAGCTGATAAGGCACACACGTGGCACACACAGAATAGGAATAAACAGGATAAGTAAGTCTTGAGCTAGTCAGAGAACAGAGCCAAGGCAACTGGCCTAGGCATTTACTCATAAGTAAGTCTCAGAGCCATTATTTCTAGGAACAGTAGAGAGGTGGAAAACCCCGAGGTTATAGATGGCGTAAGCACACACACTAAGATCTGGTTCCAAGGCCCCAGGAGCCCCTACTTACTAGCTGTACTGTATGATGGGCTCTGTAGTCATCTTCACTCTGAAAACGCTGCTGGAACTTTTCGTGGTGTTTTGCAATACAAATTTCCTAGAAAAATATAAAATGTGTTTTAACTAAAGTGAAACTTAGAAGGACCACAGCAAAGTTTATGAGACTTGTTTTAATTAAAAGCACAAGAGCTAATGAAGACTAGCTCCTCTCTCCTTCACTACAGACCACTAAAATCTACTCTTCCTAGACCTCTGCAACACCCCAACCTCACTAAGTAAGGCTATGATACTGACTTCTTTCCACCAGAACCTCTCCTGCAGAGATGCAGAAGCCATGTCTGTTAGCAAGTCACCCTCAGAACAGCTAGAGAGCGACCGTTCAGGTGTATGTAGAGGACACCTCTAAGAGACAGCTTTAAGGGAAGGAGCTGAGAACAGGTAATGGACCTTTAGTTTTAAGAATGGGAGTAATGACAAATCATATAACAATTTGAATCATGGATCAAGGATAAAGTAATGAACTAAAACAAGATTTCAATACCTTTTTATTTCTGAGGTAGGCTTTCTTGGCTGAGACACGGCCCCTTCTTGCTTCCAGCTGGCGTGCCTTCTGCTGCAGTTTCTGCAGCTCTTCCCTCTGTGCGTGCACAGATGCTGCCATCTCTTCCTTCTCCAGCATGGCCTCCATGCTTTCGTAAGTGTCATAGTATACCACTTCATCTCTCTTTTCTGTTATACAAGTATTGGACAGGAATGAGATTCTTTGTTAAGTAGTGAATGAAGGTAAAGAAACAGACCTTGAATTAAATTATGCAAAATATTTAGCAGTGTCTGGTACACAGCAAGTGTTCAATAAATAGTCCTCACTCTCCCACATACCACATATGCAAAACTGCAAAAATTTCTGATTCTAGATGAAATATCCTTTAACAAAGTAAGTATGCTGTGAAATACTCAAAAGCAATGCGCAGCCCAAATTATTGAGTTTACAAAACCATCTGAGTTCAAGGGCTACTCTGAAACAGTTTTTGATCTTAGGAGAAGCACAGCTGGGATCCATGTACTTTCGCCATACACTCTATCTTTTGTGGACGTCTACGGCTAAGGTTAAATGCATACCATACCTGATATAAGTCTTTTGATGCTCTCCAGCTGTGCAGTTAATAATAACTCTTCACACTTCAAGATTTCAAACTGTACTTCATACAACTGAAGTTGCAGGTCATAGTAGTCAGATTCTAGCTGATCCAACTTCGCTATAGCTTCTGTACCGCCCTGTAAGCTTTGCATCTGAAGTGAAAATGACACCATTAACTGCTTTAGGAAAGAAACGAGTGCCATGCAGTGGTAACACACGCCTTTAGTCCCAGCACCCAGGAGGTAGAAAGGCAGGAGAATCTCTGATTTTGAGGTCAGCCTGGTCTACAGAGTGAATTCCAGAACAGGCAAGGCCATGTGGGGGTGGGGGGAGGGGAGAAACAGATGAATAAACAAACAAGTGAATGTATTAAGTAAAAATGACAGTCAGAGCCGGGCAGTGGTGGCACACGCCTTTAATCCCAGCACTTGGGAGGCAGAGGCAGGTGGATTTCTGAGTTTGAGGCCAGCCTGGTCTACAGAGTGAGTTCCAGGACAGCCAGGGCTACACAGAGAAACCCTGTCTTGAAAAACCAAAAAAACATAAAAAGACAATCAGATTTCTGAGCTGTGTGTGGAACTGATGAAGCAGAGAAGATCACTTAAGGCCAGGAGTCCGAGGATCGCCCGGAGAACACAGGCCTCGTGGCACAGGCTTGAAACTTGAAACTTAGGAGGTGAAGCTGTTCATCAAGTCAAGGCCAGCCTGCTAAAGAGTTTGTTCAAGGTCAGTCTGACAATTTACTGAGACATTTATCTCAGAATAAACAGGGAGCTTGTTCACATTTAGGGAAACAATTTATTATCATCTTAAAACAAATGTCAATGGCTTGTCTTCTCAATTCAAAAGCAGATGCTAAGTTACAGGGTTCCCTTTCCACACAACAAACATACAAACTATGGAGGCAAACTTAGGTGGTTATGAGAGAGTGGTTAGGCCACACAGCCGCCACTCCCCTCATGCCTTGGTCACAGCACAGCTTCCTGGACCTGTTGGCTGGAGAGTGAGTACACTTTAAGTAAATGAATCTGAGAGAATTGATTTAGATGTGAAAAACCCTTGCAATCTATGAACTGTGGTCACTATTATTTTTAGTAACAAGCCTGTTGTCTCTAACAGAAATGAGTGTATCTGCTCTGAATTCTCCTTGCTAAAATCCTGATCCACTTGGCTGGAATTGTCAATGATGGAATACAGCCTCAATGCTTTCCGGGATGGCTCTGAAATTTAAATAAGATAATATACATGAAAACTAATGAAAGGCCTAAAATACTTGAAAATTTCCATTTTGGGAGGGAGATAGAAAGGTGGCTCAGTAGTTAAGAGCACAGGCTAGTCTAGGCTTTCTGCACCCATATCAGATGGCTCATAACTCATACTCCAGGGGATCTTATACCCTCTTCTGGACTCACGTGCACATACATATACAAATAAGTTAAAATGATAAATGTATGTTTAAATTTTTCCTTGGGACTAGAGAAAAGGCTCAGTGGTTAAGAGCACTAGCTGTTCTTCCAGAGAACCCAGGTTCAATTCCCAGCACCTACACAGCAGCTCACAACTGTGACTTTATTCTAACACTTTCTTCTGAACTGCACACATACCTATCATGTCCATGATATACACACAAACATGCAGTCTAAATACTGACATACATAAAAGTAAATAAATGAAAAACCCAATCAATTCTCTTTCTTGAGTAGCTCCTGCAAAAACAGGTTAGATGGCAAAAAATTAAAGTAATATAAAATAGCTTTTATAGGACAAACTAGACATAATGTATATTTTGGAATATTTCTAAAAAAACAGATTGGCTTTTTAAAAGTAATTGCCTTTCCCCATTCTATTGTGACCACCTGAGTTTGGCTCCATAGTTTGTATGTTTGTTGTGTGGATCTGCTTTTGAACTGAAAAGACAAACCACTGACATTACGTTAGGGTGATAATACATTGTTCCCCTACATGTGAACAAGCTGTGATGTAGACACTGAACGTTTTCTTTGGGGTAAGTTATATTAAAGCTTTTTCTCCACTGTTTTATGACGTACTGTGTCGTTTTTGTTTTCCCCTTATGTGTAAGAGGTGTCCTTCTCTTCTCTTTGGTTCTATGCATATTTTCTAAAAGTATAGATATTTTGTAAAAAGGCTCAGTGTTTGAATACTTGCGTAGCATATATGAAAGCCTAGGTTTAATCTCCAGGAATGAAAGAGGAAAAATATTACAAACCCAGTCTCCTTGCCTGAGGAAGGACTCAATTTCTTGTCTGTGTCTTGGGCTGTGTCCAGCACAGCTAAGCTCCTTGGGTTAGAGCTCTCTGACACGGCCCATGCAAAATGACACGTTATCTCTCCATAGCAATCTCCATAGCTTCCCTGAGTGCTCATGAAATGCTGAAGTGGGTAAACAGCTAAGGCAGAGGAATGACATCTTCCTCCTCTGTGGGGTCCCCTCCATAATACTTACACAATGCCTATCAGATTGAGTTAGAGTGGATTAGTTAACACTGTGTTCTCTTTCTATGCAGGCATTATATTAGATGTTTCACATAGACCAACTCATGGGATCATGACACCTAGAAACTAGACATCACCATTTTCTCAAGAAGTAAGAAGTAAGCTTGCAGAACTGAGACTCACAGTGTTGTTCTGTTCAGCATGGCAGCTACTAGCTACAAGTGGTATTTTTATTAAAATAAAAATGTGATTGCGCTGGGCGGTGGTGGTGCACGCCTTTAATCCCAGCACTTGGGAGGCAGAGGCAGGTGGATTTCTCAGTTCGAGAGTTTGAGGCTAGCCTGGTCTACAGAGTGAGTTCCAGGACAGCCAGGGCTACACAGAGACACCCTGTCTCAAAAAAAAAAAAAATGTGATTGCTTATGAGATGTTCTGATGGACCAAGATCTTAAATATGCATACAATAATGTTCAATATTTTATGTATTAAAGTAAAACTGAAATAGGAAAATATAAACTTAATTCTAACTTGCCTACATGCTTTTAGAGAAAAGCTGAAATAGATGAGTTGGCTTCAATACACACACACAGACACACACACACACACACACAGACACATACACACACAACGAGAATATATTTACTCAGAAATCAAAGATTTCTTAAATTAAGATAATCAAGATTATCTTAAATTTTCTGTTGTGAAAGAGAAAGCGCTGGTAAGAAAGCTTTGTACATGAAGGTGGGCTCCTTTCTGGAGTTTTCTTATGCATCTTCTGCTAACCAGAGGATAAAAGCTCTCTGAGAACTGAACTGTTACTGTGCTTTCTATAACTCGTCTCTTAATGGCATCCTAACTTTAGTATCTTCTACTTCAATTAATAACTATAAAGAAAATAACCTAAGCTTAAATCAAAATCAAAACAAAAGAAACAGTGCTTAATCTGTATTAATCACCATTCTGCTGCTGTGAAGAGACATCATGACCAAGGCAATTCTTATAAAAGCAAGCATTTCCTTGAGGACAGCTCAGAGTTAAGTCCTAATCCCTCTCAGGCAGTGTTGCCCCTTAGTGACTAAGCATCCAATGTGAGCCTATGGAGATCAGTCTTTACTTGAAAAGGCCACCACACATCTTTAATGTTGAATAAATTCAAATGCCAAATAGAGCATTGCTCAAGAGAGTATCATTATCTAAGTGTTAATTTGGAAAATGTATTTCAAGTTCATCATTATTCTCATGAAAAGCATTCCTAATTATATTAATTCATAATTTTAATCTTTAAGTTTATTATCAAGAACTTTGTTTTTAAAATAACTTAAGTAAATAGTGACTTGTTTATGAGTTACAATGATTTTATCTTCCAACAGGTAATTTTCTACTACTTCAGTATCTTTCTCAGACAACACAAAAAGAGCTGGATTATTTGGTCCTTTCTCTTCCTGTCTCTTCCCACTTCAAAATGCAATACTGACTTTTTTTTTTCTTCAAATCTCCAGCACTCAGAAAGCCAGCCTCTGTTGTACAAGGTAAATTTCAGGCCAGCCAGGACTACCAAGACCTTGCTTGGGATGGGTTTAATATTTTACATGTGTTATTTTTCTTATGAGTAACACACACACCTTAAATTACGGCAATTAAATCTGACAGTATATCACAGTTAAACACATATAAAGCACAATACCTATATTATAGACACAACAAGCATAAACTTGGCATGAATGACTAACTGGCAATTTTTTAAAATACTCTGAAGAATTCAGACACATAATGCAGACTATTACAGTCATGGATACAGCTTAAGAGAAAATGACGACAGACTCACAAACTCTAGACCTCTAGTGCGGCCTCCTCCTTCTCTACACTGGAGGTCTATTTATAAAAAGCTGTACTTTCTAATGTTAGGGGTCAGGTGTCTTTGCCTTTGGCACCCTGTATTGCCAGAACAGCTCAGAATCAGACAGATCGTGTCAACACTAAGTAATGAGATGAAGGTAAAGTCTACTTCACAAGCAGGCTAATTTAAAAGAAAATCCAGATAGCCAAAAAACAAGAAGGAACCAGCTCAATAAAGGGAGACGGCAGTAGAAATGCCTCAGGGAGATATGGGATGGGGCTGAAATCCTTCAGAAATTGAATACAAAGTGTAAATTGTCCCAAAGTCAAATTTTACCAACAACTCAAATAAGAAAACATAAGAGGGAAAAATGTAAGAGGAAAAAGTCATGTTTTAATTTAACTAACAAGAAGACAGCTTTCTAAAGTACAGCTATGAGCCCTTATTTTCAAACAGAGAAGCAACATTGACCTCTGGCTTCTACAGATATACATACACACACACACACACACACACACACACACACACGGGGGGGGGCCCGGGGGCGGGGGGGCAGAGGGGGAAGGGAGGGGAGGGAAGAGGAGAGGAGAAAAAATTGTAAATGTAGCCTATGTGGGGAAGACAGGGCAGGAAGTAAATTGAGTTATTAATAGCTATCACTTACTGAATCCTGAGGAAAGCACTGATTTTGTTGAATTAACTGAGAGGCTGTGGTAGAATGAGTAAGACTGACCCCCGTAAACTCCTATCTAAGTTCCTGGTCACTAGAGAGCAGCACTAATGTGAAAGGATTAGAAGGGCTGGGATTGGAGTAGATGTGGCCTGAAGGAAGTGTGTCACTGGGTATGAACTCTGAGGTTTCAAAAGCCCACACCACCACGATGTGGCTCTCACCTACTGCTCCATGCATGTCACCATGCTCCCTGTCATGAGACAGACTAAGCCTCTGAAAATGTAAGCACAACCCCAAATTAAATGCTTTCTTTTATAAGAGTTGCCTTGAGTATGGCATCTCTTCACAGCAACAGGAGTTACTAGGACAGAGGGGTAATTGAATTCTGTGGAATTCCAAAAGGTACAGGGAAAAAACAAACAAACAAACAAACAAGAATTAAACATAGCACCAAAGTTTGGAGGACTCAAGTGCCTTTAAGAATTCTGAGTCCGTGAAGCTAGACAGGTAGTTCCAGAGTTAGGAACCCTTGCTGTTCTTCTAGAGGAGCCGAGTTTAGGCCCTTTACTAGAGACGTGCTATGGGGAAATAAAGGAATCTGTTTTTTCAGCAGAACTATAACATGCAGCACTCTAGGGTGTAAGACAGGAGGGCTGCAACCTCAAGGCCAGGCAAAGTTACAAAGGGAGATTCTATCTTATATATTTAAGAAAAAAGTAATACCTATTAAAAAGGTAGTATGTGCTAAAATAAACAACTATCCCAAAGTATTGAAATGATAAGGAAAAGCAAGGAGAAATGTCCAAAATTTAATAGACACTTAAGATGTGTGCACCGGTGTTTTGTCTTTGTGTATCAGTGTACCATAGGTGTGCAGTGCTCACAGAGGCCAGCAGGAGGCAACAGATTCACCAGGACAGATTCATAGGGCCCATGCTTGTGCTTTTTTGTTTTGTTTTAAATGTTTGAGTGCCTGTGGTTCTAAGTGGTTTTAAGCTGGTTGTTGTGGGTGCTGGTAAATAAATTTGGCTCCTCGAGAAGAACAGCAAGGGTTCCTAACTCTGGAACTACCCGTCTAGTTCCACGGACTCAGGATTCTTAAAGGCACGTGAGTCCCCCAAGTTATAGCCAGCTAGGCATCACATGGATGCTAGAAATCAAACAAGGTCCTCTGCAGGAGCAGGAGCCTGTATGTAACCACTGAGCCATCTCTCCATCCCTCCACAAACATTTCCTTACCTGTCAATTTCTCATGCTGACAGTATTGCCTCCACAACTGAAGTCAGCTATAAGCATCTAGATCACCTTCTGAGGTTTATCTTCTACATTATCCTCAATCTCCAGTTACTACTCAAAGTATTCTGTCCTCATTTTCAAAAACAGACTTCTTAATATTTACTGCTTCTAATACTTACAGAAACCATCAACAGAAGGGGTGTGTGTGTGTGTGTGTGTGTGTGTGTGTGTAAGAGAGAGAGACAGAGAGACAGAGAGAATGCCTTTTCATTAAAGGCAATCTGTTGCAGACCAGTGTTAGGGTTGGTCTGGTACTGCTGCTATGTATTCAAATGCTAAATAGCCTGGTTGCAGTCCAGAAGAGCACGTGTAAACTTTGCTCAATTTTATACTCTAACTGCTTAAATAAAAGTGGCCAACAGTCAATTACTGGGGAGAATAGAGGTAGGTACGCTTCAGTTCCCAGGCTGGGAGTAGCAGATAAGGACCACAAGGAGAAGAAAGAAGAAGATAGAGGGAGCAAGAAGTCACCATTAGACAGGATGGATCAGGAGCACATGGCAGAGAGACATGCACCCTGAGGACAGACTGGTGGAACAAAGCAGCCCTGGAGAGACTCAAATTGCAAGTAACTTGAGAAGGACAACTGGGAAGAGCCAGTATAGTAGAGAAAAATAGTTTAGGGGTAATATCCCAGTAAGTATGCTAAAGCTGATTAAATAAATTAATAGTTATTAAATACCAAACAACCCAGTTTAATCATAAAGGAAGGAAGTTTAAAATAACGACTCAGGAGGTAAACAAATAAATCTAATAAAACAGTCTTAGCATTCTGAAGCAAAGCATCAGCAGCAACAGTGAGGTCAGGCTGTCCTTGGGCATGTGAGAACAAGGTGGTGATGAAAGGAGCATCAAGGTTTCCTTAATGAAGACAGTCAAAAGAACTAAGCCCAGCCCTGTTCTGTTCCTGACAGAAAGGTAATAGTATGTGGCCTTAACAGGACCACTTCTAACACTGTTCTACTGACGTAAGACTCTTTCTAAAAATTTGGCAACAAAACTTTTTTTCAGCCAGGCAGTGGTGGCCCACGCCTTTAAGCCCAGCACTCAGGAGGCAGAGGCAGGTAGATCTTTAGTTTGAGGCCAGTGGGTTTACAGAGCAAAGTACATGCACAGAGAAATCATGACTCAAAAACAAAAACAAACAAAAAAGGAGAAACTTTTCTTTCAATAAGCAATGAAGCTCTATTGGCCTGTTTTGTTCCTTGGTATATGCTGTCCACTGTTAAACAACACTATTATGAAGCACCATGTGTCCAGATCTTCACAGGTGGAAATCTTTAAATGGGTGCAATCACAAACATCTCATAGAAACGGTATAAAAATGGGCTACAAAGTATGGTAGTTTAAATGAGAATGAGCCCCTGATAATGAACGGCCTCCACAGGGTCAAATTTGAATGTTTGGGCCCAGTCGGTCAACTGTTTGGGAAGGACTAAGATGTGAGACTATGTTGGAGGGCTTGTCACTGGGAACGGGTTGTGAGGTTTCAAGACTATCACCATCCCCAGTTGGCTCTCTCCCTTGTGCTCCTTTTCAGACTGAAATGTAAGCCATCAGCTACTGCTCCAGTGTCGAGCTTGCCTGCAACTATGCTCCCTACTGTAACGGCCACAGACCCTACGCCTTGAGAACCATACCTTGGTCATGGTATCTTAGCTCAGCTATAAAAAGTAAGTATCTAAGACAACAAGATAGCCATGTGTCCTAATTATCAACTGTCAACCTGACACAGTCTAGAACTACGTGTAAAGAATCTCAGTTGAGTAAGCTGTCTTTATCGGTGGATCTGTGCATATATGTCAAGGGCTGTAATGACTGTTAATAGATGTTGGAGAGCTTAGCCCACTGTGGGCAGAACCACTGCCTGAGCAGGAGGTGGTCTTGAGTAGTTTAAACAAACCAGCCCAACATGAGCCTAAGCCAGTTGAGAGAACAAGCCAGCAAGCAGGTTTCAAACTCCTGCCTTAATGTTCCTCAGTGATGAACTGTGTGACCTGGAGTAAACCAAATAAATCCTTCCCTTCCTTTGGCTGTTGATCCAATATTTTATCACAGCATCAGAAAGAAACTAAAACATGCTAAATATGGTGTCAGGGCGCTAGAGACACAGAGAAACTGGATGCCTGGTTGGCCAACCCAGATTAATTGACAAATCTTAGGGCAGTGAAAGATCTTTTCTCAAAAACCAAAGTGGTCATCAACTGAGGAACACCCAAGGCCTCATGCATATACATACAAATCATGCATCTACATCTGCACACACATGTACACTAACACATACACAAACATGCACAAAGGTACACACTCACAACGCATAAATTAACTGACAGAAATCCAGAATCAAATTTATACAAATCTAATTTATGAAAATGTTTTACAGATAGTTTTTGTTACCTCTTCTTTTAGTGCATGCTTCTTCTGTTCCAGACAGATCTCCTTAGCCCTCATCATCTGCAGAGTCTCTTTAGAAACCGCATACTGGAGTTTTTCCATTCGTTCGGCAGCTGCTGCCCATGATGCTTTGCCAAATTTCTTCTGATCTGCTCGCATCCGATCATACACAGCTGTTAACAGTAATTTTATAGAAACATTAAGACACAAAACTATTAGACACAGAAGAACTATAAAGCCTTACACTTCACTGACCCCACAATAAATTACACTTAAAGTCTCTAGCACACATAGTCATGCATTCTGCTATCATGTAGTGGTACATGTCTTTAATCCCAGCACTAAGGAGACAAGTAAATCTTCAAGTTTGAGGCCAGCTTGGTCTACATTGTGAATTTCTGAACAGCCAGAGCTACACAGTGAGACACTGCCTCAAACAAAACAAAAAAACAACATCCACCACGGAGTGGGGAGACAGCTGAGGAGATAAACATGTCTACCGCTCCTGCAAAGGACAGGCTGGGTTTGGATCCCAACATCCACTGAGTAGTTCCCAAGCACCTGTTATAACCAGTTCCAGAGAAATGGATGCCCTCTTCTGGCTTCCTTAGGATTCTGTACACATGTAGTGCACATAAAGTCACAGACTCACATACATACACATAAATTAAAAATATGCATAAATTATAAAATAAAAAAATGTAAGGCTGGGCATGGTGAGTTACATAGTGAGTTAGTTACAAGATAGCCAAGGCTACTTAGAGAGACCCTGTCTTTAAAAACAACAAAGAAATAAATAAATCAACAAAAATAACATTTAGCAATTGGGGGGTGGGGGTGGTGAACATGATGAACATGCACACAGAGATGTATGTATATGTATACATTAGCTGAAATCTAATCTCTAAACATTCAAAATACTCACTGACCACCATGATAAATTAAACTCAATGTCTTAAATGCACTGTCTAATAATATACATTCTCTGTTATCTTAAATAGTGGTACATGCCTTTAATCCCAGCACTCAGGAGGCAGAGGTAGGTGAATCTATAAGTTTGAGGCCAGCTTGATTTACTCCTAAATAACCTTTAGGAAATTTTGTGATGACCAGATGCAGGAGAATTAAAGCCATACCTGAGTGCAGATGGAACCAGCAGCTCTCAAGGGCATCTCAGCCCCCTTCTTTCCCAAAAAGAAGAGCTTCTTAGTTTATAATAGGAGTGAATCAAATGCTCATCATAGATAAGACAGCTAATATGCTCCAATTTTAAAAAGCAGAAATGGAGAGATGCCGCAGCAATTATGAACTCCCAAACTCTTCCAGAGGACCTGAGGTCAATTAGCAGCACCCACATTGGACAGCTCATAGAGACAAAAATGTCAGCCTCCGTGAGCACCTGCAGTCACATCCATATAATCACAGACGTGTGCATATAAACTCTTGTTGAAAGAGTGTATCACAGATAGGAGCATTGGCAGTGGTGCCTTCTGAAACCTTAAAAGAACTCCAGATCCTTATGCCAATTACACTTTAACAAATGACAGAAGTTGGCAATTAGACTAGCTCAAAGTGCAATATGGGATACACTCACAACATGGGATAATCTCACTCCATTTTCAAAAGTGATTAATTTTGTAGTATTTGTTTATTGTTTACAATACAGAATTTAGTAAGCTTTGCCTTAAATTTTTCAGAAATCCTTTACTTTAGTTTTATTTAATGTGCAGGTGTTTTGCTGAAATATGTGTCTGTGCACACCACGTGTGCTTGGTGCCCATGGAGACCAAAAAAGAGCATCGGGTTCCCTGGGACTGGAGTTAACAGACAGTTGTGAGCCTCTAGATGAGTGCTGGGAAGTGGTCTGGGTTCTGTGGAAGAGCAGCCAGTACTCTTAACTGCTGTGCCATCTCTCCAACCTCAGAACCTCTTCCTTTAAAAAAAATGAATAAATTTATAATAATTTACATACATCTTAAAAAAAGTAACTGTAAGTCAATTCCTTGTGCTTACCTCCTCCACTCCTAACTGATGCTCAAATACAGCCAGCTAGAAAACCACCTCTGGCGCTTACTTTATAAATATTGCTATTTCTTATCTTACAGTCTTCAAAAATCACATGTTTCTGTTCTGACAGATAAGAAATTTGCTTCCTTAGAAGTTCTGCTTCCTTTTCTTTGTCTCTCTGAGCTTTGCTGCTATACTCACTGCTGTTCTTAGTGGCTGTGAGGGAATAGCTTTTTCTGAAAATAACTCTTTTGCTTTCAAAAACAATTTTTGCCAGACCCTGAAATCATGTTAATAACATGCCTTAAGCTCATTATAGACCGTGTTCAATCTATTTCCCTACTATGTGCTCAGCCTATCTAACTTGCCCTTAAGAAAACAATGAAACCACCCTAACTATACCTTGAATTTTCCATGTAATCATGTCATAAAATAAGCTAAATGCATAGCTTTGATCTTAAAACTATATGCAGCACCATGCCCCTCATCCAGAACAAAGTATGTATGCACAGTAATCATTTGCTGAAAGCAGGCAACAGGTTAAAAGCAATATTAAAGAAAGCAAAGGTCCACATAAATGTTGGAACCAACAAGTGGACAGAGGTCGGTAACATGTTTGCACTTTTGAGTAATATCTTGGGTCAGCTTGGGTCAGCTAAACACCTCTTGTAAGTTTTGTAGAATAGAATCCTTTCTTTCTCTTCTCTCTCTCTCTCTCTCTCTCTCTCTCTCTCTCTTTCTTTCTTTCTTTCTCATATCATGTTTTCTGTGCTGCTCTTCAATAAATACAAAGTGAAATCCTTTATTAGGGAAAAACAGACTACAAATGAAGCAAGACACAGGAAGACAAGTTTCAACTTTGGATTCACTCTTAGTGAATTATATAAGAATTTTGTTTAACATGTACTGTGACAACAGCAAATATACTAACTAACAAGAGGGGCTGAAGTTTTCAACTACCATCTCCTTGGTCCTTAATTTTAAGGTCTCAAACAAAATATCCCCATTGTCTGTTTTATATCAAATCTATTTCTGCCATTTTAAATTTTCTGGCCATCTTTTTAAAATTGTATTCAAATAGTAAAGAAAATGTAAGATCAATGAAGCAGAGTGTACTGCAGAGGGAACATTTATTTTAACTAAGATACATTTTAAAGTCAAGTCTGTGAGGCTTAGTTCTGTAAAAAATTCACTTGTGTGCATATACATGGGCAATTGCTTCAATCTTCTTTCTCCATTCATTGGCTTTATGCAAGATTAAATGACCTTACTGTGTCTGTTTCTATATTTTGAACAGGGCCTCAGACCTAAGTAGGCCCCCAGACCTTATCACAACTGACTACATGATGGAAATACCACTCAGGACATAAAACTCAGCACACAGATAGTACCACCTGCCAAATGAAAACAAAGACCTAATGCATCAAAATCCATAGTTCTGGGAAAGTCTCTAACCTTGCTTTTTGGCTTCTGTAGTTCTGCTTCTGGCTAACTAAAATTGTTAACTGAAGTATGTGAACCCAGAAAATAGTTTTGTGGTTAAAGGCTCATTCTGAAAAAGGCTCAGATTTCAAATACCCAGTGCAGTAACCAGCTGGCTAAAGAACAGTTAAATCCATGTCTAAGCAGTCTTCTTTGGTGGCTACCCCACGACAGCTCTCTCTAGCTTTTTCTATTGACTTAAAGAATGGGTATGGTATACACATACAGTACAGCCTTGACACTGACTGAAAGGATACCTTGATTGCTAACTGTGGCTACTCTCTGTCCAATGGGGTGAAGAGTACACTTTCCAAATTCTACTATACAATTATTCTAAACATAAAAAAACTTACTCATCTTCAAAAATGCTTAAGGAGTCTTAAAGCTTACCTTTCTGAGCTTTTGCTGTTATTTCAAAATATTTGACAGTGAGGTCCTGAATAGACAAAACAGCCATGTGAGCTTTCCGCTGCCAGTCAGCATCTTCCTTCTGTAGACTCTCAATTCTTCGAGGGCCCAAATAATCATTCTCCATGGAAATCTTGAAAGAGAAAGGGGGAAAGCCTTTTACTCATTCCTCAAACATTTTATGGCTGTAATGTGCCAGGTGCCAGTCAGGCTTAGTGCTAAAACAAAGAACACAACTTACATCTTGCTCTAGAAGAAAAGTTAGTGATTTTTAGACTAAGTGACTTAACAACAGAGCTGAAGACTTTTGACATGGGAATGTGACCTTCCAATCTTCCCTGTCTACCTTCTTCCATCCTTTCCATCCCCACACACCCCCTCTAAACACACATACAACAAAGCATTTGGTCACTTCTGAGACAATGAGCAATTTATTTCCTCACTTACAATAGTTATATTTTAGGTTGACAATTATAAAATCTCTTTTAACTTACTGGTTTCCTTTTTTTTTTTTTTTAAAGGACACTAAGGTCTGGCATATCCCAAACAAGCACTCTATCCCTTTTAGATAAAAAATAAACTAGCTATGTATTACAAAAGTCACAAACAACAAAGGTGAAAACAAAATGAACAGAAATGGACCATAGATCTATATATATAATCCTGCTTTATCATATGCAAAAGATTGATTTAAATAATACATTTAAGCAGAGTATAGTGGCCCATGTCTGGTACTCCAGTCCTTGGAAGGATGAAGCATAAGGGGAAAGAATGTTAGTAACACTGTTAAGGATTAAAAATCAGGAGTTTGAAGTGTTGGTATGTGCCGTTAATCCCAACCATCACGAGGCAGAGTCCAGTCTGGTCTACAGGGTAAGTTTTAGGATAGCTACAGCTTCCTAGAGAAACCCTGTCTCAAAAAGGAGAGTGGGGATAGAGAGATGGCTCAGCAGATAAGATGACTGGCTGCTCTTCCAGAGGACCCAGATTCAATTCCCAAAACCATACAGTTCACAACTCTCTGTAACTCCAGTCCCAGGGGATTGACACCCTCTTCTGGTTTCTATGGGTGCTGAGCACACACATGGTATACAGATAAACATGCAGGTAAAACACCCGTTCACATTTAAATAAATAAGCAATAAACAAAAATTAGAAAACAATGAAAAGCAGATAAATGTAACTCACCCATGGCACATTTTAAAATAATAATAATAAAAAAATCAGGTATCAAATCACTGAAAACTAATAATGAATTTCAAAAGTAAAAATAAAATAAGCCATATTTTCTAAACAATACAAGAAACAGAATTAACATAATCTAAAACTAAAATAAAATTTAACCAACTGAAATTTAACACCCTTACTTTGAGGGAGAATGGAACTTAGAAAATTAAAAGACCTAGTATTTAGTTTTATATATGTTGGAATTAATTCTGAAACGGTCAGGGCCAGAGATATAAATCTGGGCATCAGTAACACAAAGAAAGCATTTATAAAACCATAAGGGTAAATAGGGTCATCTAGGGAACGCGCACACACACACACACACATACATCTTTAAGGAGTGACAGCTAGAGTGTTTACACCAAAAGCTGTTTCACCTGAAGGGGTAATGAATAACAGACAAGTAATGAGAAAGCTGTGCATGACCCAGTCAGAAAATTCAATTCTTTACAATATGCATGTTCATGAAGTTTCTTTTAATATAAAAAATGTTATAACAGTAGGTGGATACAGATCAAAATCATAGATGAAATAAATTTCAATTACATAATAGATTGCCAAAGAAAAGTATATAAAATATACTACTGATGTCATCTTTGGGTGGCGAATTTTCAGACATTTTCTCCCTATTTAATAGCTGCATTTTCCAAGGGCCAGGGATATAAGTCAATGGTAGAGCTCCTGCCTGTATCTGCATTTCCAGAGAAATAAAATCAAAGTATATACAATATACTACTGATGTCATCTTTGGGTGGCAAATTTTCTTCCAGATATTTTCTCCCTGTTCAATAACTGTATTTACTAAGGGCCAGAAATATAAGTGAGTGGTAGAACTCCTGCCTGTATCTCCAAGATCCTGGGTTTAATCTCCAACACCTTACACAAACAAACAAACAAACAAACAAACAGACAAACAAAAAACACCCCAAAACTGTCATTTCTACCAGGCATGGTAGTTCAAACCACATCTTAGCACTAAGAGGCAGGTTGGAAATTTTTTGTCAGCGAAATCTACCAAGTAAGACCTTGTCAAAAGAAAACTGAGAAAAGAGTGAAGAGAAAAAGAGAATGGCCAAGAAAAGACCCTATATTTTGTACTTTCTTCCTTGAATGAAATATACTTGAGAATAAAAGTGGCATTGTTCATGTCATCAAACAGGAAGAGACTGTTTCATTTCTTCTTTAGGCTAACAAGCTATATCAATGAATGGGCTAAGGGCCCGTTACCCAGAAGTTTCCTGATTCTGCTCAAGAAATATGGAGCTCATATTTTTCTCTAAGGTCAAATAAGGTAAAATGAGAAGTGCTTCCTGTGCAGTGTATAGGGGAGAAAGAGGAGGTGGTAAAATGATCAGAATCCAACGTCTCATTACTTGTGGGAAATAAAACTGTGTGAGTCCAGCTGGCATTCCTTCTACAGTCTGCCCAATAGTTACCTAGCAACATCCAGGTAGGCCTGGCTTGGTATGAAAGGGACTGTTTGGCCTCTCTGACTCTCTGACCCCTTTCTCCCTCTCCCCCCTTCCCACCCGCCCCCTCCCATGTGTTCCTGGCCAGCCTCTTCCCCAACACAGCCCACCCCTGTGTATGTCCACGTGTGTTCCCTCTCTTTGCTTCTACTCCCTTCTCAACTCCCCTTCCCATGCCCCCAAATAAACTCTCTTCTATACTAGACCAGAAGTATAGCTGGTACATTGGGGGTGGGGGAGGAGAGACCATACTGCACTCTAAAAAACATATCCTCATCTTTATAAAATACATCAAGTCCCCTTTCTGGGATTATAAAAGTGGTGTCGAACAAGTAATATTATGGCAGGAATAGCACCCTGACCTCCTGACATGCTGGGGTGCCAAGTGTGTGCTAGCATTTCCGGCTTGGTACCTCACATTCTTGATAGCAATTCTCTTCTTGGACGCTACTGTGGCTAGTAGTTGAAAATATTAAGGGTATAGTTTAAATAAAGAGGCCAGTGTAGGGAGAGATGGTAGAGATGGCTCCGCATGTAGAACTTTCTACTGGTCTTCCAGAGGCCCTGGGCTCCTTCTGTTCCCAACAACTATGGAGCACCGGTGGATGACAACTGCATAACTCCAGTCCCAGGGGATCTAATGCCATCTTCTGATCTCCATGGGCACCAGGCATAGACGGTGCACATACATACATGTGAGCAAACACTCAGATATGTAAAATAAAAAAGCAAGAATGGGGGACACACACATACACTAGATGATTCAGAGGATACAAAAGTGAGTAGGGTGTAGTGTCACAAAAAATTTATAATACAATGAAGGGAAATATTATTGATACAGACAAAGGCCTTACTGCCTCAGCCTCCCTCATCTCCAAGTTCATCCTCCTGCTACCTTCTAATGCTAGTTTTGGAATCTGCAAATGCTTTCCTATGCTGTCAATGAGGAGGATAGAGAGGTGTCCTTCTTTCTTCTTTCTGCGTACCTTTCACTCTGCTGTACTGTAGGGAGGCATCATCCCAGACTTGCTTCCATACACCAGAACTAACAGTTCCTTCCTCAATAACAGAATCAAGTTTGCAGCTTTTTCAACTCCAGCTTCCTATTGCCAGTGCTGGCATATTAAGTGACCTATCCTTAGAGTCTGGATCTAAGTGGGCTATCAAGGCCAATACAAGAAGCAACATGGAACATGAAGCCCATGGAGCCTTCCCTCCCCGTGTTTAACTCAATACAGTCACCCCTCCCTTTGTTATCCACCTCTCAAAGGTGGTTCTTTTATAATTGCCTCCTTTGAGGTAGCTTACTTTCTCAACCTGAAGTACCTGCTCTACTTTATACCAGTTAACAAATCGTTCTATTAGAATGCTCACTGTTGATTTTCTAGCTTAATTTTCCAGTCAAACTCCAACAGATTTAGCTATGGAATAGAATTTAATAAACACAACCTAGAATGTAGAAACTCAAAGCTCCTAGCTCAGAACATTGAAACAGAAATTATTTCCACTTGCATGAATAAACATTGTATCTCTGAGCAACAGACAAAAGGGGGATAAACACCTAGAAAACTGAAATTCTGTACTATGGCTTTTGTAGGAGGAAGTTAAAAGCAAAACAATACCTCTGTCATCTGAAGTGCTGTTGGATTAGTTATGTGTCTGTCTGCCTTCACAAATAACAGAAACATGCTTCATGCACCATCTCCTCTGCTGCTCTGTAAAGACTGTTGAACAAAGCAGCTATAATACTGCAACCAATTTCTAGAAACCTTGCCTCGTCACTTTATGTACTCGAGGCGCTAAGCAACAATCCTATCCTTTAAAAAAAAAAAAGATTTATTTTTTATTTATATGAGTACACTAAACCTGTCTTCAGACACACCACAAGAGGGCATCAGATCCCATTACAGATGGTTGTGAGCCACCGTGTGGTTGCTGGGAATTGAACTCAGGACCTCTGGAAGAGCAGTCAGTGCTCTTAACCACTGAGGCATCTCTCCAGCCCAACAATCCTCTCTTAATATCTTTTCCTAACTTGGAAAACTTGAAGATGTTGCAGCAGCCCTGTTCAGCTGGATTATGTGCTAAAAACAATGACAGCTCTGTTTGGAATTTCAAGGCTAGAGAGAAAACAGAGCCTGCTTTAACATGGAAAAAGGTGTGTGTCAGTTTTGTTAGCCAGCAAAGTAAAATGAATTTATAAATACGAATTCTCTGGCATGGAACTCTTTAAGTACATCACTGCTAGGATATTGTATTTTGTAAGAAGTTATTGTGGTATTTCTGTGTATTGTTAAGATATTGGGAGAACCTAATTTTGAATTCTTCAGTGAGGCAAATGCCAACACAGATTTGTGAATATACTTACTGATACTGTAAGTACAATGTAACTTTTTTAGGCACTGAGAATGTTTGCTCAATAATAAGCAATTATCAA